AAAACACCTCTCCCAGCAGCAGCCAAAGAAAACAATCGCCGAGAAAAAGAAACTGAGAAGGGGAGAGGAAGCAGGATTCTGCATCCTGGCTGATAACATCCTCAAAATCAAGCAGCATAGACGGGCGGTCACGGTCATCGAAGGAGCCTGAGGGTCCGGGTTGGCCAGAGGTGAGCAGGTCTGAGAAGGTGCCCGGTCCTCAGGGTCATCAACTTCAGCCCCCACAACTCGGCCCTTGATGTCAAAGGGACGTAGGTGACCTTCCCATCCCAACGAATTCCCTGGACCATCTCTTTGTTGATCAAACATAAACTGAGATTTTACTGCGCCCAAGGAGACACACATGTCGCAGCTGGTGGAAGGTCACCTTGCAGTGCGGAAGTTTGCTCTGGCAGACACATGTCAGCTTCTTTCTTCTGACCTGCCCACTCCTTGCTCCCTTCCTCAAGCCACACGTTCTTGGTGCCCTTGTCTGCCAGGGCTTTGTCTCTCCCTTCCCCGAAGGGCGAGTGTGAGGAAGCCACCAGGGTGCGGGGCTGCCTCTTTCTTGCCGGGTGGGGGCCCACAGGTGGGACAAGGGACTCTGAGTATCTCAGCTGGTACAGGAATAGTCACCTTATCCTATTTCTGACACAGGATTGCTGTGAGGACCGAATAACATTCTGTCTCATAGAGCTTTAGGGGCGGCAACCAGGAATTGCCCAAATGCAAGGAGGAGAACGAAGTGTGGCTTTCTTTCTGTGCAGTGTATTTTCAAAATACTCGGCCTTCGCGCGACCTTTAGTCCTGGCTCTTCACTGAGTTGGGTCACGGGAAGTGGTGCCTTAGGATTTACTCTCCAGGAAGGAAAAGAGTACTTCCTTTCCCTGCTCCAAAGAGCCAGCTGCAAGCACTTCCTCCCTGCCCTACTCCCCAAAACGCTGCTTGCACCGCCCCCTCGTGGACACCCGGAGCAACTTCCTGGAAGACTCCCCATCCACCCAAAGGAACAGAGAGAGCGGGGGCTAGGGTTGAACTCAGGATTGTCAGGAACCAGGGTGTTACATGGTGGGCTGGGGGTCCATGATGCTCAGAGGGGACAGGCTCATATCATGTCCAGCTGATTATTGTCATGAAGAATTAGATCTCGAATTATCAGATATTTTGGTTTTTCAAGACAAGCTAGAAACATCCCTAAAAATAGGAGGGAGGCCAAAGTTTGGGACTACAAACCATCAGGAAGCCTTGATTTCTGTGGAAAAGATGAAAGAGTAATAATAGTTAACCCCAACACATGAACTAGGAACTGTCTTGGCAACGGAAACCTGTTAAATAAAATATATAAGCTCCACAAGGAGTTTATTCACTCACTTCTGAGTTGTCCTTTTTATTTGCTTGTTATACTGGGTTTTTTTTTTTTTAATTTCTTATACTAACCAGCAGAAATTAGATTTCAGTAAAAGTTATGGGAGAAAAAACTCAAAATGGAAAACAATATTTTTATTAAGTTCCCCATCCGTCCCCCGCTATTTGGAAAAATAAATCAATTTTCCTAAAGGTACACATTCACCAGCTTCCAAAAGATCAATGTCCATGAGGGAGTATTTGAACTTTTGGGGGAAGAAATTCATCCTCCTTAATCCAACGTGCAAAGCCTGGTCAGTTTGGCGCCCTGCTGGCCTCACCTCCTGCCATTCCCCAAGCGACCCTGACCATCATTTCAAACTATTTTCCTCCAAGGACACTTCAGGTTTTTCCAGAAAAGTTCATTTCTCTTTAAAGTGCTCTTCCTCACTTTTCCATTAAAAACAACAACAACAACAAAAACTGCATTCTTCAGAACCCAGTTCAAGCGACCTCCCACCCAAACCCTGTTGCCATGATACCTCCCCAAGCCTTCAGGTAGAGCACGCTACCCACCCCCAACCTGTGCTTTCAAAGCCCCAAGCCTCCATCGCGAGTACAACAACCATTTTGCAAAAGTTATAATTATTTCCTTGTACATCTTCTGAAATCTACCCAGTGATATAAAGCTTTGGAAACATAGATGTGAAGCCAGTAAGGGTGTGTTTGCTGTCTGTTTTGCTCACGCACAGCCTGCATCTAGCCAGATGGATTGAAGTAGGATCATTACAAAATATATTTTTAAATAATTTTAATTTTGGATTTTTGGGACAATAATAATTTTCATGGTTCAAAATGCAAAAAGTGCAAATGTGTGTGAGAGTGAAAAGGGTCCATCTGTCCCCTGTTCCCAGCCTCCCAGTGTCTCTTCTTATCAGTAAATGATGTCACGCATTTTTTTTATATCCCCTGGATGAAGTCCACATTCCTTTCCGCGCAGTGGAACGCTTTCTCCGGTCTGGGCTTGGTTATCGCCCAACCCCCTCCCTGCACCCAGACTTCGCCCTCTGCTTCGGAATCTGCCCCGGATGTAGCCTTGTGCTCTGCCACCCTGTCCCAACTCCCTCTTCATTTAGCAAATGTCCCTCGTCAGCCTGGCCTCCGTGTCTTTGTCCGCAGCGGGTGCCCAGTGTCCAGTGGGTCCCAGGAACACCCCCTGCCCAGTTCTTTTCTCCTCGTCACGTAACTGTTTACTGATGGGGTTCTTCACAGGCCTGGCTGCTTGAGATGAGACACTGTCCCCCAATCGGTGTTCAAGACTGAAGGCCCAGCACGCAGCAGGGAGGGGGTGACTGTTGCTCTCCCCATGAACTGTTGTCAGCCATTGTACCTGTTTCCTTGAGTCCTTCTGAGCTCTCAGGGCAGAATTCCTGGGGCTGCACTTCCTGCCCATAGCCCCCCAACTCAAACGTAGCCTGGGCATGTCCCCTCTGGCAGCCTGCGAGCTGGGCAGCCTCCCTGGGGGAGGCGGAACCAGTGGTCACATGGACGCATGGACTTGTGGGTGTGCAGAGATGTTTCTGACTGCGGATGAAAAAAATGCATGAGTGTCTTTATCATCAATCTTTGGTGAATGTTGTTAGCAACGCTCCTGTGTCTGAGCCCAGGGAGCTCCGCACACACCTCATCTCAAAGCTGTGCTTGAGAAAGAAAGCCAGGTCTCGACCCCTGAGCCCAAGGAGGGCATGTGCTTATCAAACAGGCAGAGTTTGCTCGCCCAGGCTTTCAGTGCAACTGCCTGGAGGGAACTCAGGCCGGTTTTGACTTCCACTTTATAGAAGAACAACCACAGGTACCTTCGCCCCTCTGGTCCCCTTTTCCCTTCCCGTCTCTGTCCACCCCTGGAAGACAGGCCGCTCCTCCAGACAGGGATGCCAATCAGGATTGGAGAGGTGGCCCTCCCGCTGCCTCCTTAAGCTCTCTGAGAACCGTGCCACAGCGTAACGGACGATGTTTGAAGATGGATGAATGGCCTCACACCTTAATGTGTCTCAGAAATTCCACTGTTCAATTCACCAAATAGCCTGTTTGAACGGAGCTGGGAAGAGTAAACAAGACAGACATTAATGAAACCATTTTATTCAGCAACTATTACCAGCAGGGGAAAGAGCTGAGCTCCATCCAATTAGTTCGGAGGTGACAAGGCCTTTTTAAAAATTCTCACCGAGGATATATGTTTATTGATTTTAGAGACAGAGAGGAAGTGGGGGGTGGGGGTTGAGAGAGACAGAGAGAGAGAGAGAAACATCAATGCAAGAGAGAAACATCGATACTCTGCAGTCTAGGTATGTGCCCTGACTGGGGATTGAACCCACAGCCGTTTGGAGCCCAGGATGATGCTTCAACCAACAGAGCCACCGGCCAGGGCATGACCGGGGCTTTGAGAGGGAGGATCAGGGAGTAAGGAGGAGGAGAGGGCTGAGGCTCTGTGAAAAGGGACGAGGCCAGCTGTGTCTGCCAGCTGGTGGTTCCTGAAGGGGTGGCTGTCTTCTCACAGAGACTGGAAGACAGGCTCTTGTCCTTCTTGCTGACATTTCAAGAAAATGGACTCCGGGCCTCAGGAAGGACATTTCTGAATTGCAGGCCATTCATACACATCTCCAAGGGACGCAGGATCGAGTCATCATTGTAAGCCTTTCCTAGCAAATGCTCTAAGCAAAGGCGGCCCAGGGTCCCTCTTCCCAAGACGACTGGAAAGAAGAGGCAGGCGCATTAATGGGGTGGGTTGGGGGACAGGGGCTGTTATGGGACCCCAGGCGTTGGCCACTTAGGACGCTCTATGCAAGAATGAGAGGAGGCCCTGACAAGGTAGTTTTGTTTACCTGCAGCAAGTAAAAGAGACAGGGGAGTCACATCCAAACTCTGCCCCCTGGGAGGAAAGCTTAGCTATTGCATAGGTGCATGATTTGGTCAAGCATATCTTTCTTGACTTTGTTGCAGGTGGCTAATTCAATCCCTTGAGTCCCTGTCAGCTCTCCCTCTTTACCTCTGCATCTGCAAAATACCACGCTACATTTAGCAAAAACTAACATTTAGCACTGCCCAGGCCTTGGGACCCTTGTCCTGTCTAGGAGGGCCGCCCTGGGGACGTGGCCTGAGGCCCAAGAAGCTGCGCTGGAGTTTGGTCCCCGAGCAGCTGTTTCCAAGGACTGGGTTAGAGGAGAAAGTGCTGCCGTCCCCGCAGCCGTCTGCCAGAAAAGGTAGTTCTGAAATGCTTTTAAATCTCCCATGCTGAAACCGCAGTCGGGGGCGCTGTGCCTCAGTCAAGCAACCAGGTGGACCGTATTTGGAGGTACTGGGGAGGGGGCGCTGGGGGCTTGGCGGGTGGGAGACTGTCGCGCCGCAGGGGACCGGGAAGAGGGAGAGGTTAGGCCAAGGTCGCCAGCCCAGATTCAGTGGGAGGGTGGCCCACTCGGTTTGAGCGTCCCAGTCGCCTCCCAGGGGCGCACGGTGCCCCGAGCCGCCCCGGGGCCGCCTGTGGACGCGCGCGCGCTCCCTCCCTGCGCGTAGCCGGTTGGGACACCTCGGCGCGCGCGCGCGCGCGCGACCGGTGTGTCCCGGTCAAGGGTTGTCCCCGCCAGGGGCCGGGCCAGCCCTGGCTCCTCCCCGCCGCTGGGCCTGCAGGGCCTGCGCTCTCGGTCCTACTGAAGCCACTGTCCGCAACGCTCCGGTCATGGGCGCCGCCGGCTCGTCGATGCTGGCCCGCTTCGTGCCTCTCTTGTCGCATCGCCCTGCGCAGGCCAGGGCCGTCTGGCTTGGGGGGGCCGCGCTGGGACTGGCGGCGGTGGCTCTGGGGACGGTCGTCTGGCGCCGCACGAGGTCCAGGCGGCGGAGGCGGCTGCAGCAGGTGGGCACCGTGACGAAGCTCTGGATCTACCCGGTCAAGTCCTGCAAGGGGGTGCCCGTGAGCGAGGCCGAGTGCACCGCCATGGGGCTGCGCAGCGGCAACCTGCGGGACAGGTACGGCCGGGAGTTGGGGGGCGGGGCGGTGTGTGGCAGGGACCAAGGGCATTGGGCACAGAATCTTCAGGGGATCAGGGGGGAGGGGGACCTGGGGAGGCCGGGCTTGCACCCCCCCGCCCCCCAACCTCCGGAAGGAGAGAAAAGGTTCACCACCTGGGTTTCCGGAGCTGTTTGTTGGCACCTCTGCCAAAGAAGGTCAAAGTTCAGGTCTGATTCCGATTTGGAAAGGTAGGTAGGAGCAAAGTTTCTTTTGTGTAAAAGGACTGAGTCGGACTTGATTACATCTAAGGCTCCTGTTAGTTCTAAACTTTCTTCGTGTATGGCACAACAGTAGACAAATGGAATGCCACGGGCGCTACTGGGCGGACTGGAGCCAGGGGGAAGCCCGTTTTGGCTCAAGGACGCTGGCTTTGGCGTTGCCAGGCCTTGTTCCTCACCACCCCCAGTCCTGGGCAAGGTGCCTGGGAGACCCAAGAGCTGGAGACACCTGGCCCCCTTTCATGGGCCCTGAGCAGAGTGAAGGCTTGTGTCGGGGCTGGGGCGCTGTGAGGGGGCCGATGACTGCGGGGTAATGGTTGTCATTGAGGGGGCCGCGGGTCTCCCGTCTCCCGGAGGCGGAGCCGTCTCCTGGGAAGAACTTCTGTTAAGGTTTCTACCGCATAGGGCCTGGCACACAGAGATTCCATTCTCCTTCCTCCGGCATGACAGGATGTCTTGTCATATAAGTCACCCCAAAGGGCAGCCGACAGACACACATCATTCGCGGATTGGTGCAGCTGGGTGCCAGGAAGGCTCGCTTGACCGTCAAGGGAGGAGAGTGTGTGAACCCCGAGAAAGAAGACACCTGCTAAAAAGGGCCCCTGGTGGCTAATTGGGCTCAAATTCGACAACAACAACAACAACAACAACAAAACAGAGCTTAGCAGCCATTTCTATACAGGTAGCTAGGCAGGTAGGAGCAAAGTTTCTCTCCCGCACACTGTGCTTCCAGGAGAGGCCTGCACTGAACTGCCTACCTGCACTGCTTCTGTCACCTGAGCCAGCCCTTATAAAAAGAATTCCTGGAATCCCATGTCAACCAATAAGAATGAGGCTTTCCCATCCAAACCCAGCTGCACAGCTCCTAACAACCTGAGCGGCTCTATTCTAACCAATAAGAACAGGACAGTGCCTTTTGGACCAATCAAACTGTGGAATGAGGAGTCCTTATTTGCATATGGACAGATCAGTCAGGGACCAGGGGCAGGGACTCTGGTCTGGAGGAGGCTCTGGGAGCCCACTCTCCTTCTCCAGCTAAGACCGAAGACTGCGACTCCCTGGCAGAGCTGCAAGACCAGAGACGTGTGCAGAGCAGAGCAGGCGGGTGCAGCACAAAGCAGACTGCCCAGGAGAGGAGCAGAGCTGCCTGGCCCAGCGGGCTGCCCCCACCCAGGGCTGCCTCCCAGCTGTGCTGTTCTCCCCGTGGAGCTGGTTTGCACTGACTTCACCACACTCTTCAGTTGGGGGTCCCTGGTGGCCTTGAATCAGCGACCATCAGTTGACAGATGGAACCTCCGTTGTTGCCTTAGGATTAGGATACCCTCAAATCTGGCGCGGGTGGCTTAGCTGTGGTCCTGTGTCTAGGGGGAGGGAGGTGTGCAAGTTGGTTGAGGAACCTTCTAGCAGAGGCCGCCTGGCTGCCCTGAGTTCACTCCAGGACGCACGGGCTCACTCTTCTCTGAATACCACCGTCCTCTTAAAATGCGAGCTCCCACGGCATGGAAAAACTTCAACTTGTTTTTAGGAAGTGTTGTGTATACAGACCATGGAACTCACAGGGGATTGCCCATCCCCCCACACCCCAAACGTCTAATCCTGGAGCATTTTTTAAAACTGTAATTTCCTGAGGCTCCCATCCAAGAGTGAAGCCAACGTTTCCCCAGTGACTCTGGTCCTCTAAGAGAAGGGTTCATCTGGCACTGTTAAGAAGAACGTGTTTAGAGTTTATGTAAATATGAAGGACTAGAAAAGATTTCTTCTTGAACTTCCCAGACCTTCCTTGAGACCTTTGTCCTACTAACACTATGGCATGTCATCAATGTTATAACGAAACGGCACCAAACAAAATGATGTTATTCAAGGACCTGCTGTATCTCACCCAACATCACAAAACCGTCACGTGTTGGATGGATCTGAACTCAGAGCTCTGTGCGTGCAGTCTTTGTGCTCTTTCTGTGGAACCACTGCGTGATCTGGAAGAGCAAGGAGTGCAGACCAGGGTCAGGAGACCTTGGGCAAACTCATTAACCTCCCTGAGCCTCATGTTTTCATTTCCAAAACAAAGCGGCTGAACTTGATCTGTGACCCTATCTAATCTGGCTTTTCTTTATGAAAGGATCATTGAAACCTGAAAACCCGAGCTGGAAAAAGCTGCTCCACGACCCCTATTGTTGTCTCGCCCTGAGACTTCAAACACGAAACTACAAAGACACTAGAATGCAGGAAGAGGCCCCTTTATTTGATTCCATTTTGAACCTGAGTCTTGGGAGCTATTCTAAGAAGCTGAGATCTTCCTCTCTCAGTGCTCCGTGCTTCACATTTCTGGAGACATTTCCATCAAGTGTATTTGTGAACACTTGGCTTGAACGCGCGGAGCTTCGAGCGGGTTTAAAGGCCCCCGGGGCTCTTTGGCACAAAACATGGCTGCCCTCCTTCACCTTGTAATTCCCCATCTCCTCAGCTGCCACCAAGGCCTTGATCACGGATAAATCTGCCCAAGCCCTTGCTGAAGGCAGTTCCTTACTCTTCTGCACACACTATTATTATTATTGCTCAGAGAAATGAATTCCCTAAGTTCATAATCCCTAGGGTCCTCGTCTCTTGGATTCTTCCCGCCTGCGCCCTCCTCCTCTCTGTGGCGGGGTCCCTGCCTGCCCCCTTCTCAGCCTCTGTCATTCTGCTTCCTGGCCAGTTGGTAAATTCAGGAAGGAGGTTTTCCAGCTGCCTGGGGACCCCGCGTCCCTGCTGCCATTGGCCGCTCAGGGCACTGAGGCTCCTTTCAAGAAGCTGAGCCCTGGGCTCTGCTCTGACCCCCACAGGAGACCCTCCCGTTTTATATGTGAAATGGAAGTGCTGAATTTTCATGTGGCAGACTCAGTTGGGGTAACTGGGTCATTAAAAAAAAAAATCCACACTCTAGACCTATTCTTTCCTTCAGATCAGGCAGAACAGAACTGATTGCTCGTTCGCTGGGCATGCCTTGTCTGCGACAGGTGAACAATGTCATTCATTACCCGTTGACGAGGCAATGGGGCTGGTTGGCGACAGCAACGTTGCGTCTTTTACTGTCACCTCTGTCCCATCCCAGCGTTAGACCGCTTGCGAGTCGCCGTGGCCAGCACAGAACCTCCGGCCACCACTCTTCCCAGGGCCGGTGACCCCCCGGGGTTAACTCCCATGTGATCACATGACAGGCTGGCGCGAAGCTGGGGTCTGCGAGCCAGAGCCAAGGGCTGAGGTTGGGGGGTGGATGGGAGATGCGAAGACTCTGCTCAAGGAGGGACTGACTGTGGGAAAGCACGTGCAGTCGGGTCTGTGACTCTGGGCTTGTTCCTCGACAGGTTTTGGCTGGTGATTAAGGAAGATGGACACATGGTCACCGCCCGGCAGGAGCCCCGCCTTGTGCTGGTCTCCGTCACCTATGAGAACGACCGGCTGACCTTCAAGGCCCCGGGTGTGGAGCAGCTGGTGCTGCAGAGCAAGCTGCCTTCCTCCAACAGGATCCACGACTGCAGGTGCTCTGCCCGGGCCCTCGGAGACCTGTGCCAAGCCTGGTGTCCTTTAGGCTCGTCCCCAGACCCTACAGTTAATACAGGAGTGAGGTCGCTGAGATTGGTAAAGGAAACATTTACCCGCAGTCTACTCTGGGCTGGGATCGGGCCGGTGCTCAGGTGTGAGTGCATGAGGCAGGGTTTGCTTCCAGGGTACCCGGGAGTTGTTGTAATCAGATGTGGTAGGGGAATGACTGTCCTAAAGAAAGCAGGGTTTTTTTTATATTCACAGATCCCCAGAAACGCAGGGCCCTGCTGGGAAGCACCAGAGTTGGTCAGGTGGCAACAGAGGAAATAGGAAAAACAGGAACTGCGAGGCAGGACGAAGGCTTAGGATGGGCCCGTGTGAGTAACGTGAGTGGACACTGGGCCATAGGGACCAGAGGACACCCTGACATTTGCAACTGCGTGGATGGACCTTGAGGACGTTATGCTAAATGAAATCTGCCAGGGGAAGACCAATACTGTGTGATCTCACTTATATGTGGAATCAAACAAACCAAACCAAAAAAACGCCAAAAACCAAATATCTAACTCATAGAAAAAGAGATCAGATTTGTGGTTACCAGAAGGGGAATTGGAGGAAAACGGTCACAAGGTACAGACTTCCAGTTACCAGGGAGAGTAAATACGGGGGATGGACCATACAACGTGACGACTCTAGTTCATGCTGCTGTGTGGTGCATTTCCAAGTCCTTGGAGAGTTGATTCTGAGAGTTCTCATCACAAAGGAAAACACACTTTTTTCTTTGCTTTTTCCTTTTTGTATCGTTAAGAGAGGATGCATGTTAGCTAAGCTGATGAGGGTAATCATTTCACAATATATGTAAGTCAGGCCTGAGGCTGTGCACCCCAACTTCCATTGTGCTGTCTGTTGACTCTATGTCAATAGAACTGGAAAAAAATAATTCTTAAAAATGCAGACCGTAAAAGAAGACATTAATCGTGCATTTTTTAAAAAAGAGAAAGTTGGATATCAAAATATTATGGCATTTAGATTCCATTGCAAACTTTTCAAAGCATGATTTTATTTTATTGTAACATACTTTTTCTATATTTAAATATTAACACATGATATACTTTATAATTTTAATTGGAATGTTAGCATTTACATTTCAATGGAAAGGATAGCTCTCCCCACAAATTAAGCTTATAAAAATTCCCATGTCTACCTAAAATTCTGTGAGGGGTACAAAGCTTTAAAAAATTCTTTTAGAGTCACGCAAGCAAAATAACCTTGAACGTCATTGTGTCCTCTAGTGAAATCTGCGCACCAGGTAGGGTTGGTACAATATTATTATCTCCTGTTTAGCGCTCGGGACGGAAGGTCAGAGGAGTTCCACAACTTGCCAAAGACCGCAGACCAGAGAACAGGAGCGTTCCAACGTGAGCCGGGTCTGCAGGTCCCGCTCTGGGTGCATCTCCCCCACCTGAGATCCCACACCTCAGATGCATCCTTCTCCCCTCCCAAGAGTCTCCAACATCCTTGCTATTCGGAGTGTGGTCCACGGACCAGCAACTTAAGCGTCCCGAAGCCTACTAGGAGTGCCGCATCCCAGGCCGCAACCCAGCCTCCTGACCCTGGATCTATCGAAGCAGGAAGTAACCCTGGTCCTTCTTGTCCCCCTTCCAGGATTTTTGGTCTGGACATTAAGGGCCGCGACTGTGGCGACGAGGCCGCTCAGTGGTTCACCAACTATTTGAAAACGGACTCGTTCAGACTGGTTCAGTTTGAAAAGAGCATGAAGGGAAGGACCTCAAAGAACCTTTTGCCGTTTTTTGCGCAGAGTTACCAGGTGAGCTGCTGGAGAGCTGCCCTCACCGTGCCCCCCGCCCCCGCGCCCCCCGTCAGCCGCGCTTCCCTTTCCGCCTCCCCCCCCGCGCCCCGCCCCGGCCCACAAAGGGCCCCCCGGGCCCCCAGGGACGTAGTGCCAGCGCAGCCAGGTGAGTGGGACCAAAGGTGCTACCTGGGCAGGTGTCGGGGATGGGGAAGGGGAGAGCCTGCGGCCCTCCAGGATGTGCGAGGATGGAATACGGGACGAATGGTGCAGGGAGAAGCCGTGGGACTGCCGCGGAGATGGGAGCTCAGGAGAAAACGGGTTGGGGAGGCAAAAGTGAGAGGCTTGTCGGGGGCTAAATCCAGGTTTCCTAGTTATGGAAGCGACTCTCTCCGGCGCTGCCATCACGGTCAGTGTAGGCTGGTTATTTCAGGTGCTGGGAAAGGCCCCTCCTCCGCAAGAAAACAGCCCTCTGTGCCCTTGACCCCGCAGTAAGAAGAGGTGTAAAGGGCAAGCTCCTCAGGTCGCCCCCAGACTCCCTGATGTCAAGCTCCTTGAATGCAGGGCGTTTAGTCTGCTCTGTTCTCTGCGATTTCCCCACCTAGAACAAGGCCCGATAGATACACAGCAGGTGCTTATTAAACGCATGTTGAGGGAATGGTGGCGGCTGAAAGATACTGTTACAAGAGCAGAGCCGATTGGCTACAGGCCCTTCCCCTGATGATGATGATGATGATGATGATGATGTAAGAAGAGGATCACCTGTCGGGCACTGGAGTGAAGAACAAGAAAGAAATCAGGGCTCCAGGCCTGGCTGCTGCCTTCAGTGTGTGGATCAAGCCTCGCCCTCGGCCCAGAGCTGAGTGGGCCATTTCCAAGCACAAAGTGTTGCCTGTCCGTCCCTGGACGCCACTGTCCCCTTCTGCACTCCGGTGGTTTTGCTTCTAGACCTCACTTAGCTTGGCCGTCGGCCCGAGGGATTTCCCGGGGCAGTGAGGCCTGATGGGGCCGTGTTCTCGGTGCAGGTGGCCTACCCCGACTGCAGCCCGCTCTTGATGATCTCGGAGGCCTCCCTGGCAGATCTGAACACCAGGCTGGAGAAGAAGCTGAAGATGGACCAGTTCAGGCCAAATATCGTGGTGACAGGCTGTGATGCTTTTGAGGAGGTAAGCGGCTCACTGTTTTTGTGCATTATGCCCAGATGCGCTGTTCAAGACACTAACGGAAGCGCCGTGGCCTGCAGCCAGGGCTAACCCAGACCCTCCAGGGTGGGCAGTGCGGGGAAACTCCTTCCCCAAGCCACCTTCACCTTGTCCAGCCGATCACGCCCGGCGGCTGCCATCTCCTCGCCGGCCTCAGGGGGCGCTGCTCACCCCCTAAGGCTCGGGCCCCAAAGCAAGACAAAAGGAAAGCCAAATTGTAGCAAGTCTGGGACTAGGTTGGGATATATAATCATAGCTCAGAGATAAATGAAGGGAAATGAAGACAACAGCCATCTCTTCCCTTCCTGTACCACCAGGGGTGCTTTCAAAGATGTGAGGCTCTGGGAATTTTACCCCAGGCTCCAAAGTGGTACCCAGGAGGATACATGAGATTTGCCTGTGAACAGCCCCTGGGGATGGTCCATGCGGAGGCCTGAGTTGTCTTCCAGGAGACTCACAGGCTCTCTCTGCCATGGGGCTGACCCCAGAAATTCCCACCCCCTCCAGACACAGCCCCTCATAGCCCTAAAGGGACAGCCACATCAAAACCCAGCTGTAACCTGCCGTATGTGCACAGAATACATAGAGCTGGGTGTTGCTTTCTTATAGGTAACGTCAGTGACCTTAAACACTGGGGGTGGCCTAAACTTTATGGCCACCAGAGGCAACAACAACAAATACCACTTACTGGGTATTGAATGGGTGCCAGGCCCCGAACAAATAAATTACTTCCTATAAATTCCTTTTGTGATCCTTATGACCTCCTGTGAAGTCTGTATTATTTTCTCCTTTTTTTTTGTAAAACAACTGAAACTGGGAGGCGTTATGTAGCACTTTATGAGTATAAGTAAGGGGTGGCTCTGGCATGGGACCCCGAGCCTGGCAACTCGGTCCAGCCTCTGGGGTGCTAAGGTCCGAGTTCCAGTTTAGAGATCCCAAATGGGTCCCCTGGGCAGGGAGGGGGGAGCTGGAACACCTTCTCAACTCTTCGCCCCTTTGGGTGACTGCATTTCTTTTTGTGTGAGTAAAATGTGCCCCTGTTTGCTGGTCAGCGTTGTCCTTGAGGGTCCACTTTTGCAGAGGGCCTAGTGGAAACTCTTGTATGTGTAGGCACTTCATATTATTTGATAATTTAAAAAATAGCCCTGTAGCCTTGGCTGGTGTGGTTCAGTGGATTGAGCACTGGCCTGTGAACCAAAAGGTCACCAGTTCGATTCCCAGTCAGGGCACGTGCCTGGGTTGCAGGCCAGGTCTCTAGTAGGGGGCGTGCAAGAGGCAACCACACATTGATGTTTCCCTCCCTCTCCTTCTCCCTCCCTCCCTCTCTGTCTAAAAATAAATAAATAAATTCTAAAAAAACAAAAGAAAAAAGAAACTATAGACAATAGCCACGTGGACAGAAATTGTCTCCTTGTTGATGTTTTCCTGTCATTCATTTCCTATTTTCTTTAATTCTTCTTTACGTGTGTTAAAAACGGGTTTTAATTGATCGCCTGTTGTGGGCCCAGCACTGTGGGCCTGGGCACGTAGGTGCGAGATACAGAGCCTGCCCTTCAGAATTCCAAACCCATGCGACAGGATCGGCCTTGACCCAAGGGACTTGGCACCCAGATTTGGCCAGACTGGAGGTTTGTTCCATTTGGCAGTCTCTTTACAGATAATAATAATAAAAAAATTCGGTGCAGGTCCTTGAAAGTGTCCGGCACAAGGGACAGGGCCGAGGCTCAAAGCCCACAGGAGACCCACCTATTTCTCCCCTTTCTGCTTTCCCGGGTTGTCCCTTAGGGCCCCATAGGTCTGCCGTCATTAGACGCTTGTTGAACACGGAATGAAGTCAGCGCTCGGGGTAAATGACACATGTTACTAAACCCCAGATTCCAATTAGTCCAGGAAGCAAAATTCTTTTACAGGAATCCGGTAATTGGGTTGTTATTTTCTAAGAACCTCTTTTTTTTTTTCTCCAATAGCTTCTTCTTAGCCTCTTGGCTAAGATCAACTGTAGAAATTTTCTTTTAGGAAATACAATTTTTCTTGATTTGACACCACTATAAGAGAACTTACTTTGATATTAATTTTCATTTAAGATCTTGTGCCAGGGGAAGAAGAAAAGATGGTCTCATTCCTCTGCTTATGGAATTTCTGCTTTCCTACGGCTAATGCAAGCCTAATTGTCTTCCCTGAGGCAATTTGAGTGGGTGGAATCCTTTTTTAATTTTTGTTAAATGGAAATAACGTGAACTGACCTTGTGTTCCCAAGTCCATTTCTTTTATTTCTACATGGCGGTAGGCTCACAGAAATAGTAAATACTCATATTTTTCTAGAATACACAAATTTTTCTGGAAAAGTCCTCTGGTTATGCACATTAAAAAGAAAGTCCTTATCATAAAATGATGCTAATGTTGCTGAGCTACTCTCCCTTAATTTGGGAGACCCAATAGTTAGTGGCCTAATGCATTAACCCGTCTACCTGGTACCATTGACCTTCAATTAGTGGGACTCAGTTAAATATTAATGCAAAATGATAATGCACATAAATATTTAATAGACCAACTAATAATAAAAAAAAATAGCAAACCTAAGCATGGTGCAAAAATCCAGGCCATTATTTATTGCAAAAATATAGAATAATTGCAGAATGCAATGTGCAACATTTACTCTTTGTGACCCAAAGTACTTTGTACTTTTTCTGTGTAACTCAGAACATTAAGCAGATTTTAAAAGGCGGTTTCCCTTGGGCCATTGTGGTGTGTTTGAGTTCTGGGAATGAGGAGCAGTGAAATTTAAACATAATAAAATTAACCGGTGCTTCTAAGCTCTGGAGTTGACCAGGGCATGACTCAGGGTTTTCCGAACTTTGCTTGCTGTCCTGGTGAGCAGGACTTGACATTGTTTTGGAATGTCCTGTTTGTATCAGTCCTCACCCCGCATGATGGAAGACCGCTGGAGAGCCTTGCAGAAAACCACCGGTATGGAATTTGTCCCTCGGGCAGTGCTTCTCCAAGAAGCTTCTAAAGAGACAGTGGATGTTGAAGCCAGGCAGCTGTGGTCTGAATCCCAACGCCGCCATACAGTCCTTTGCAGCTGTTGAAAAACAAGGCTTTTGCAAATCGTCAGAAGCAGACTTTTCTGTCTCCAATAACGAGAGTTGGGATGAGTTAAGATTTTATTTGGGTGTTCAGATAAGAAGTCTCGGTCCTGGCATAAGGGCAGCGATCTCTGCTGGGTTCAAGGCATTCCAAAGTAGCAACAGTAAACAGAATGACAGACAAAAAACAAGGACAAAGTAATAATAACAATTACGTAATTCTCAAATGTTTATTATGTAGCAGGCACTGTGCCAGACCCATTATATACATTATATCATTTAATCATCCTCACTTCCCAGACTGCAGGTCGTGACCTGTTAACGGGCTATTATATCACTTTAGTGGAGGCTGACCAACATTTGAAAAAAACAGGAACACAATAGAACAAAAGATATCAGGAAAGATGTCAGGGTAAACTATGTGTAGAAAGGGAAAGAATTGTTTTGTAAAACTTTCAAGGTATCGCTTGGATATGTATGTGAAAGAGCATTAAGAAACAATATAAAATGTAATTTTTTAAAAAGACTATTTGTAGAGCAATTTTAGGTTTAGAGTAAAATTGAGAAGAAGGTGAAGAGAGTTCCCCTCTCACAGCTACTGTTATAGTCACCTCCTGAAGGGCATCTTGGTTGCTTCCAAGTTTTGGCAATTCTAAAATGTAATTTCCTGCCTTGGTCCATAGTAGAAAATGGCTGACAGTCACAGAGGTGAGGAGTATTTTCCAGATGTGCAAACTGAGACTCAGAGAAGCTGAGCACCTTGCCCAGTGTCACACGGCGACGACGCGGCCACGTGAGGATGCGGCTCCTGCCGCCCTTCGGAGGTTCCTGAGCGAGCGCTGCCTACACGACTCTGCCCCCTTCGAGTGCGGCCAGGCCTCATAGCAAAATCTCATCGGGCCCTCACCCTGGGGTCAGGGGGCAGGTCTCTGGCTGCGGAAGAAGCGGGACAGTGCAGGGCAATAGGAAATGGAGGCGGCCTGTGCTCAGGCTGCCCCGTGCGGACGGAGCGCTCGGCGTGTGACTCTGCTGACGGATCCCCCGTGGGTAATGGCCCGCTCACCCAAAAAAAGTCCCATTTTAACGTGGCTTCCACAGTGGCTCAGCTGGGTGGGCTTGTCCTGCAAGCTCCCTGTTTCTCGTTACAGATCCTTAGGTTTGCCCTCGAGTTCGTTTAGCTTCTCAGTGACTGTCCCCCAGGAAGGACCCGTTTTCCTGCTGACGGTCAGGTTTCTGAGACTGTGAGGCAGAGCTGGAGCCTGGTTCCACCAACCTGCTCCTCACCTTCGCGTCTTCTGGGGAGACCTTTCTTGGCCTCTTCTTGCTCTGTTTCCTTCTGTTCGCCTCATTGCTAGTACCGGCCCAAGAAGAAGCTGCCTGAAAGAAGAATTAAGAAGCCTTAATTCAACAGATCACGTTTCCTCTTCTCCTAGGATACCTGGGATGAAATCCTCATTGGCAATGTAGAAATGAAAAGGGTCATGGCGTGCCCCAGGTAAGGACTCCGGGGAGACCTGGACTTGGGGGTGTGGCATGCCCATTGGTTCTTGATCTCACCGAACCCTTGGTTACTACATAACAGGTGCATTTTTACCACAGTGGACCCAGACACTGGAGTGATAGACAGGAAGGAGCCGCTGGAGACCCTGAAGAGGTAGAACACCCGTCCAGTGTATTTTTAACATCACCCCCCACTCCAGAATACCTGTGGGTGGAGGCGCTCTGCCCCGGGACCTTTCTCTCTGCCCCGGGACCTTTCTCTCTGCCCCGGGACCTTTCTCTCTGCTCCCTGGTGGGTTGGAGTCTGTTCCTTAAAATAAGCGTGTGTTGCCACCTCTTTTTTCTTCCTGGACACACTGTCTAGTGCTTTTGATTAATTTTTAATTGTAGACTAATAGTATGTTTTGACCTTTTTGTGTCTCCTATCAATTTCTAATAACATGTACTTGGTTTTCATTTTCCAAATGAAGACATTATATCCTCTGTTTTTTTTTGGGGGGGGAGGTTTGGCCACTCAAATTTCTTTATTAGAATCAGTGTCAAGGGCTGTGAGAATAATTGAAGTTGTGTCATAAAATGTTAGAAAAAAGAGAATGTAATGGGTTGTTTATCCAGCAGCTTCTTCTCTGCCAGGTGGTCACATTGGCTTGGTTTTGTACTTAAAGAACTGGGGCTGGCTTTAGTTCTCGGTATAAAATGTGTTTCTAAACCCAAGTCAGCATTTCCGAGGAGGTGTATTCTGTTTTCTTTCCATTTCCTCTATCTTGTTGTTGGTTTCTCATGAGTTTAGGTTAGAGAAGAGGTCATTTGAAGCATTCAGAATGGCATTTCATTCTGTTTTGCTTTTTAAGATGCAGTGAAGTTTATTCTTTTTTTTCCTTGGGGTTGCATGCACGTTTGTTTCACTGAGTTGTGAAATTGGAGGTACACTCGGGATTTAAGTAGCCTATGAAAGTGTTTTTCCTCCTTCTTCTCAAACTGAAGTCATGGAGAAGTTGCTTAGACTCTCAGGATACTTCTAGAAAAACCAGAAGTATTTGCAGTTGGCCAATGTCCCCTAGACTCCGCTGCCAGCATTTCAGAAAAGGCTGGCCATTTGTTTCTTTATAAACGAGCTGGGGATGGAAGCTTGGATTCTACCAAAAGCACTTAGATTATCATTGCCTTTTTGCGCCTGACGATGGGTTTTTGTTTTTTTCAGCTACCGCCTGTGTGATCCTTCCGAGAGGGAAATATACAAGGCGTCCCCACTTTTTGGGATCTATTACTCGGTGGAAAAAATTGGAAGCCTGAAAGTCGGGGACCCCGTGTATCGGATGGTGTAGCGATGGACTCACAAGCTTGACATGGTAAAGGGCCAGCTTCCCTTCTGGACAGTTGGGGCCTTGAAGTCACCACCCTGTTTTCCCACGGTGTTTCCCCCGTTTGCTGCTTTAACGGCTGGGAGAGTGAGCAGCTGGTGTTCTGACCTTCAGCGTTGGAAAATGCCATTTGTCTCTAATCCCCTCAGTCATCTCTAGCCCCCGACCCAGGCTCCCGCCTCCCACTTTCACACTCAGTTACGAAATGCTGGTGTGGGAGCCTGTGGAGAGACAGGTAGATGGGGCCAGCCCCTAAAGGGACAGCAATCAGAAGCGAGGACAGGAAGGGGAGCGACCCTGCAGAGCGACTTATTGATTTTTGTTTTCTGCCTCTGACAGAAAAGCAAATTCAAAATCAGCCTGGGGGAAACCGGGAAATGCTTTGTAGCAAATGAGTTTTTACAGTGTGACTTAAAGCTTGGAAAGATGTCAGGGCCCCAAGGCGGCTGGATTCTGAATCAGGGGGTAGAGAGCACCTCCCGCGGTGGGGCCGTGGGGTCCCATAGAGCCCTGAGGCGGGGAGCGCCAGGCCTGGCCCCCAGAGCACAGGAAGGCCAGTGTGAAGGCTTTGCCTCGAGGCTTTTCCAGAAACTCTTCTCTTAAAACCCATAACCTGGATACTGAAGTTACCTAATGTCTGAAACTCTTGCCCATCCTTCTCGCTAACCGTGGCCTGACCTTCTCCACCTTCCCACCCGACTGTCCTTCTGGGGACACGGACCAGTGGTCCAGACAGTCTGCGCCCCCAGTAGGAAGACTTGGGTTCCTCATCCCAGCGGCAACACTTTCCAGCTCGGCTGAGTATATAACTCAACCTTTTAAACCCCGGCACCCTTATCAGCAAAGTGGGAACAAGGATAGTACTTCCCCAAACAACCAATAAAAATGATATGGAAGATTAGTTCATATAAAGTTGCAGCATTGCCACCGAAACACAGCAGATAATCAGCATTGGCTATGATTTTTATTGGCGGCATTTCCAACAACTGCCCCATGCAGGGCCCCGTCTCAGATGCCATTGTGGTCACAAAGGTGAGACGGGCTTTGTCCTTGCAGTGAGCAAAAAAGAGACAAACTTCTCCTGGCCGCCTGTCACAGTCTGGCATTTTCGTAGCCACTGCCATGTTTCATCATTTCTAAACTACCAGCTTTTCCCACATTTTCCCACTGCTGAAACGGCAGGGAAGATAACATCCAGGATTGCTCTAAAAAAATCTTAGTGATGCATAAAAGTAATGGTGCCTCTTAGGATTTGACGAGATGCGGCAAACACTGGAGTGAAAATTCCTAAGTGCCTCCTGTCTCCCAAGCCCCGTCTGCGAAGTGGGGCCATGCCTGAGCCCCAGCGGCTCCACAGCCTTTGGGAAAAGAGCCGTTCACCTGTGCACGAGGGGCCGCGCCCTGGCCCCTTATCCGTTTAAAATGTAATCGCATAAACGTTTATCTGTTCCATGATCTATGCGATACGTGTTCACCAGGGTACATTTAGAAAATGGAAAATACAAGAAAAGTAGAACAAGGAAATCACCCATTGTCTGTATTGATAAATGATTGGTTGGTTGGTTGGTTTGGTGGAGCTGTGTAATATACATAATTATATACGGTATATATCATATAGGCATACTATATAAACAAATATATATCATATGCTATTTATACACAGATATAGATCATACATATATCATGTATCTATATATGGCATATATACCATATATATTTATATATACATCGTAAGCATTTTCATAGCCCTCCAATCTATTCAAATGTCATTTTGATGGTTTATAACATTACATTATATAAACATGACACTTTTTAAATACTACTTTACAATATTTGACCCTTGGACTATATCCGATTTGGTTATACATAGTATTGCAGTGTGTGTGTTTGTATGCAGAACATTTAGAAATTAAGAGGTTTTCTGTAAGTTAGATTCTTAAAGTAGAAACTCATGGAGTATAGGCATTTTTTTTTAGCATCTTGACCAGTTGCTTTCAAAAGGGCAATTCCCATTTGCACCCCCTCATGCCACGTGACACCCGTGCTCTGGGCCGCTGGCAGGATTGGGGGGCAGGGTGACAAGAGGCTGCTTTTCTCCATTAAGGTAATTTGGTGCGAGACGTGGTTTATGTTTCCTGCGTTTCCACAAGCGACTGTTTTGTGGGTCTTTGAATTAGGTATGGCCGGTAGGAGAAATAAGCAAATAATTAGAGATTCTTATTATTTATTCAGGTTTCAGGATCCAGGAGACATTGCTCTGGATTTTAACTTCAACAGCAGCACTGCCTCGGCGGGTCCCTACCAGCCACCCTCCGACCATCTTCGCCCTGGAACTGAAGCTCTGTCCTGACTTGTTGGGATTACGCACGCTTCAGGTTAACGCAAGCAAAGTATTAGAGGTGACTTGGGAATAAGAAGGTTATGTAGATTTTAGGTAAGGAAGACTTTTTAAATAAGTGAAATTGTCCGACAATTATTTTGATTGTTACAGTAGCTCTCACACTTCTGACATTAATATTGATGAGTTAAGAAAGTGCAAAGAATCTGCTCAAAAGCTGCAAAATTTTTTTCTAAATGTTTACATTTTATTCCCTACCATTCCGTGTTTTAGGCAAAATGAGAGACACCTGGTGTCCTGCCCTGCCTTTATATGTGAGCACACAAGGTTCTGTTAGTTGGTTTTTACATGACTACTGAATCCCGTTGACTTTCTGCTCATGTGATTTCGACCCAGCCCTCATGGAATCAGGTTGTACTCGAGGATGGCAATTATTTTATAGATCTCATTTTTATAGCCGATAATGCCACTTTTCAGCCATATAAAAGTGATTGGGTGTGATTGCCAGATACACCCCCTGGGATTCCAGGTATGATAAAAAAAAAAAGAGAGAGGATGGAATTTAGAGAGTCGAGTGGGAAGGAGGAAGGTGGCACATATTTTTTTAGGTGCAAATAATTTTTTTTTTTGTAACAGAGAAATGAACTCTTTGGGTATGACTAAAAAATTCTCACTGAAGTAATATGTCAATGACTTAACCTACTTCTAATTTTGTGACATCTTTGGTGTTAATAAATGTGACTTTCAGTTGTACTTTTTGTTTGGTATTGATGGAGTCTGTTTCCCGAGCTTTCTCATTTTATAGTCGAACTTCAGTCCCTGTCCCTCACCCATTTCGATTGCCTGGCGGAGACACACTCGGACTCCATACGCCTTGCCTCCTGTCGCCCGCGGGGACGGGGGACATCAGGGAGGGCTCAGGCCAGCCCATGGCGGCAGGTCGCCGGTGCCCACAGGAGCCTTCCCAGCGGCCAGTGGGGCAGCTGTCCCTTCGCTGTTTTCCTTTGCTGCGCTGTTTTCCTTTGCTGCGGCTGGAATTAGCTTCCCTTCCCTGCAGGGGAAGGTGTCCGCAGAGCTCTGTCCCTGCCTACATTTTGGCAATGAGGAAACGGAAAACTCATGCTGACCTGAAAGCGAACCATTAACAGAGAGAAGCAAAATTGCCCCTTTAAATCTCTGAAGAGAAATGAGAGAGAGAGAAATGGAAGTCCACCCAATTTAATGTTCTGAGACGTGTTATTCACTGCCCCCGCCCCGGGGTGGGGGACGCAATCATTCAACAGTTTGGGGGCCTAGACCCTTCTTCTGGCTCATTGCTGGGAGAGGGGAGCTCACGGATGCACTCCAGTAGCTGAAGCAACACTGCCCTGTGGCTCTGAACACAATTCCTCCCTTCTCAGGGGTAGGGCAGGGAGAGGGTGACCGGCGGCTGGAAAGGGAATAGGCAGGGTCACCTGTTTTTCCTGTTCGCCCGGGGCCCAGGCTCTGGGCCCCGAGGCGGCTGGCTGCCCTGTGCGCACCGCGCCCCACCTGCCCGAGGACAGCGATCTGCCTGCCCGCCGCCTGATTTCTAATAACTCGAAATCACGTTTTGTGCGTCAAGTGTCTCCTCCTGTCTATTTTAGGTAGACAAACAGCCCACAAATACGTAAACCAATGGATCACTTGCAAGGGTCTAGGGCACGGGGGAACCCACCGCCCTGCAGCTGCCGGCGGGAAGGTGGAGGAGGAAGTGGCTGGAAGACCCTGGAAGCTGAGCCGGGGGCTCGCACCCCTGCGGCCGGGCCCAGCCCCCCAGAGAAGGGCGGGCGCTCTGATAGGCCTGGCACGGGTTCCGGAGCCGCCCTCCTGGGCTCGGGCCAAGGGTCGCACCACCCCTGCGGCCCCCGGGCCGACCTGCCACAGCGGTGACCCAGCCCAGCTCCTGCTTCGCCCACGCGCAACCGTTGGGCCACGGGCACCGCAGGCTCCTCGGCGCTAAGCCGTCTCGGTGTCCCTCCCACCGCGCTCGCCTGCGCCGCCGAGGCCAGCCTGGCTCAGGGTGGTCGCGCTGGGACTAGCCGCGGTGGCACGGGGGACGGTCATCTGGCGCCGCGCGGGGCGCAAGCAGAGCGGTCGGTTGCAGCAGGTGGGCACCGTGGCGCAGCTGTGGATCTACCCGGTCAATTCCTGCGAAGGGGTGGCGGTGGGCGAGGCCGAGTGCACCGCCTTGGGGCTGCGCCGGAGCCACCTGCGGGACAGGTACGGCGGACGGTGAGGGCGTTGGGGGCGGGTGGCGAGGGACAGCAAAGGACCTGTTCGTAATGAGGTGGGGTAGGTAAGTCACAGATCCTCCCAGTAACCGAGAGCTGGGTGGGACAAGGACAAAGAAGAAAGAGTCCCCTCACCTCCCAGCAGCGCACACCAGGATGCCAACCTGCTTGGGGGCGGGGGCGGGGGTGTCTTTCCACCTCTTTCACCTCTTGCGCTCCTGAGGAGGTGTGGCCTCCGTTTCCAGGTGTCAGACGGCGGCGCTCAGCCGCACTTAGTTAAACTCCGTCCCGCAGAAGTTTTCAGCCAGGGCTGGTCCCCACCTCTCTGTTTTTAGTCACCGGCTCTTGAGAACTTGGGGCCACTTAGAGCCCCCAAGCCCAGCCCTCAGAGAACGCACCGAAGCCGAGCCCAAGATCTCAGGGAAAGGACAGCAGTTGAAGCTGATGCTTCTTGCAGCTTAAAAAGTGCGGCGGCATAGATGATCCTGCCTCATCCTCCCAAGCACGCTTCTCCGGGTTGAGAACCTGAGAGGCGCCTGGCGGGGATGCAGGGCTGTGCTTGCTTCTCTGGGGCGCACTGTTGCTTTGTTGAACAGTGGTTTTGTTCATGTCCCTGGCTGGGCACACTCTGTGGGAATTCCGGGGGTTCAGCAAAGGTCACAGAAGCCCAGAGCAGGTGGCTTTGACTGCTTCTGTGTCTGGCTTCAGGCCATCCCGGGCCTCATTGTATGGCTGCGCCTCAAACTCCTTCCTCCCCAAAGCAGCTCTCACGGCTTCTGTGGGACCTGCGGGCGGGCATGCGGGACCCGCGGGCGGAGGAGCTGTAGGGCAATTCCTGAGACATTTGCAAGGTGAGCTGTGCATCTCTGTTCACAAGGGAGCCAAGAATCCTGGCGATCCCACGGCTTGTACGCAGACGCTGACAGATGGTGACACTTGATTTCGTAGGCCCAGAGGCGAAAGGGCATTGTAATTTCACTACCTCAATTCAAAAAAATGTTTTGAGCTCATGTTAAAAATGGGTAATAAGAAGAGCTGGCATTTGTAGCAGACAGGGTGGAACATTCTCTGCTGTCATGCTACCAAGAAACGTAGCCAAGGGCTATGTAATCAAAGGCTTCCAGTCCTGTGTGACAACTGACTCCCTGTGACAAGGCCAGCGAACACAGAGGAAGGCGCTCCAGAAACTGTTCGGTGTGGTCAGGAACGACATCAGAGCTTGAACTGAGAGTTTTAGAATGATTATGAATATTGCCGACAGGTAGGTTGGGAGATGAACGTTCTAGAGAGGGAATTTGCTGGGCCAGGACCCTGGGTTTGAAGGGCAGGTATGCTAGGCAAAGGCTGGTGTACGCCCAGGTATTGACTGTTTACCAAAAACAGTTGAAAGCAGGGACTTGAATAAACCCTCGTACACGCGTGTTCCCCGCGGCGCAGTCACAGCGACCAGAAGGCGGAATCAGCCCAGTTGTCCGTCATCAGACGGATGGATAACCATGTGGTCTATACACGCAATGGAATATAGTTCAGCTAAAAAAAAAATGAAGTTCTGTTACCAGCTATAGTATAGATAAATCTTGAAAACATTAAGTGAAGTAAGCCAGACACAAAAGAAAAAATACTACATGAGCCGACCTGTAAGAAATACCTAAAACAGGCAAATTTTAGAGATGGGTTAGAGGTTACCAGGGGCTGGGGGGAGGGGAGGGGAGGGTTATTACTTAATAGGCACAGCATGTCCGTTTGCGATGACGAAAGGCTTTGGACACAGGTCGTAGCGGTGGTTGCATAATGTCGTGAATGTACTTAACGCCACTGAGTTGTGCCCTTAAAAATGGTTAAAATCCCATTTTAAAAAGTATTGACAGATACTGGGTCATTTCCACCTCTTGGCCTTGTGAATAGCGCTGCTGTGCACATGGGCGTAAAAGGCTTTGTTTGAGTCCCCGGTTTCAGCCCTTTGGGGTACATACCTACGAGGGCGCCAGGTGTCTGTGTTAAATATTTTACACGGCAATAAACAATGGAAAAGAAAAGAAAGGCCTGCGTGTGTGAGGGCCCAGGAGGCGCCCACGCCAGCCCTGCGGAAGAGTGTGGGTCTTATCCGGCTGCGGGACGTTGCCGGAGGAGGGGCGACGTGATCAGATTTGTATTTTAGAAAGCTCGGGCCACCGTTATTTCCAGGAAGAATTACGAGGAAGGATGTTCCCATGCTGGTGCCCAGGATCTGGCTCCAGCCAGAGCTCTGTCTCCGTCCAGGATGAAGGGCCACTGAAAGGCCTGCGTTAACTTCTTTCTGCGAGCTAGCTGCACAGCTTGGCCACCCTCATTGGCTGGAGGAGGTGATGGCCCAAAGCCCCCGCCACGTTTTTTTCTTACGTCTGTGTTACGTTGTGGATCCCCAAAGCATGACATGAACTCGCTTCTACAGCGGTAACCATCCACTCCAGTGTGGATCAAAACGACCAAAACATGGATGTGCATAATGTTATTTTTCTGGAAATGGTTCTTTCTATTGCTCTTACTTCTCCTTTTTTTTTTCTCTTTTTTTTCCCCCCCCTGGAAAGTACCTCTAGACCAAAAGTACTGGCCAGAAATAACATTGTCCATATTAACAATAGACCTTTCAGTAAATGGCAGAATTTACAGTTCTGAATGCAGAAACATTACTTTTTTTTGAAAGGGGAGAGTGGGTCTGGCAGGGTGTGTATGGCACTGAGTGTGGCCAGCTGAGCTCCAGCCTCTGCGGACAATACAGCAACAGCTCTGTTGCTTCAACAGGCAGGAGCTCAATGCCTGTGCTGTGTCAGGCACGGCGGGCGCTTGACGTCTTTCTGGGAAACACATAATTGTCATTTCCTTGGGGCCCGTTGAATGAAATTGATCAGACTTGCTGCCAGTGGAGAGGAAAATGGAATTCACACATTCGATTTCCGCGCCATTGAGGAGCTTGGAGTGTTCTCTGGAAATGACATCGGATGCTTGAGTGGGTATTAAACCCTTTGAAATACGCTGACAGTCTTGCTGGGCTGCTGAGTTGATGTTTTGGATGGACAGACAGACACACGCAAAGTCACACACACACACACACACACACACACACACACACACACACACACACACCCCAGGCTTACGGGGAGGGAATCAGAGAGGGCAATGTCTGACTGAGGTGCTGTAGACTGGCAGCCTGTCATGGCGCCCCATACGGATCTTGAGTTTTGAAAATGGCATGTTTTGGCTGGTGATCAATGAGACAGGAAACATGGTGACCGCCCGCCAGGAGCCTCGCCTGGTCCTGATTTCCGTGACCTGTGAGGGGGCCGCCGTGACCCTCCGTGCACCCTCCGTGGAGGACCGGCGGCTGCCCGTTGAGTCACCGTCCACAAGCGCAGTGTTCAAGCGCGGGTAAGGGAATGGCCGTTCTCAGCCCTGGCAGAGTGTGTGTGTGCACGCAGTTTCCGGAAAGTTCAAATTCCAGAGGGAATCCTGAGAGCGGTGATCAGTAAGGAACCGCTGACGGCGAGTGCACCGTATGGGGGGGCCTGTCCTCAGTATCATGACGATCAAAACAAGGAACGAGGAACAAGGGAGCGGTTTCAGAAGCGTATGTTGACGTGGGGTTGGCAGACATAAAAGTTCTGTGTTAGAAAACCCTGGGGCCCAAAGCATAGGGACTAGTAACCCCACCAAAGGCTAGAGAACCAGAACAAGGGGGAGTGACTGAGGCAGTGACCTGGGCCAGGTGAGATTAGATCTCTGTACAACCTCAGACTTGCCTGGCTTTGCCTGGGTAGACTGGGAACCTTCCCGGTCCCTGCGAGGTGTCACAATGACCCTGTGACCCGTGATGTCACATGGAAGAGGGATCCGCCCTGCAGGTGCCCAGGGGTCCGAGGCCCAGGGAGCGTGAGGAGTCAGCCAGGAGCCCTCTGCGCAAAAGCTCTTCCCCAGCGTCAGACAGGCTGCGGGGAAGCAGAGATTCCAGGAGAACAGGCGTCGCTGCTAAGGAATCATGTCTAGAGTTGATTTTTTTATCCTCTCTTGGGAAGATTAAAATTTGGTCTAATTATACTTTTGTCCCAGTTTCTGCCTTTTGAATTAGAATGCTCAATGTAATCCATAACCTACTGTAGAATGTATCACACCCAAAAGTGTAGTTAGCTGAAAAATGTTGGAAGATCCCCACGCATTCATAAAGGGCAATGCCAATATCATTTCTATGACATCCGGGAGTTGTAAACATAATAATACGCGTCTATAATAATTTGGTGTTATTTTATGATTACAAAACGAATATGCATTCATAGTTGAAAAATTGGAAAGCCGCCCCAGAAAAGAAAAAACTCACCTAAAATAACTATAGTTAATATTTTGACATATTTTCTTTCTGTTTCTATAACTAATACATTTAAAACCAAATTGAAACAAGGCCAAAAATCAGAATCTTGAAAACTGTTATATATTTAAGTTGATACATTGAATATTTTCTCATATTGTCAAAAAAAATCTTCAAAAATTCCATTGTCCATGTTGGCACAATGTCTTCTTGTGTGGGTGTCCTCTATACATTTTAACATGTCCCCACGTTTGAATTGTTTTAAATTTTTTCCAGGTGTGAAGAAGAATGTGATAAATATCTTGGTATATACCTTTGTTCATATCTCTTATTATTTCCTTCGGGGAAAAATTTTAGAAGTGGTTTTGTTAGAAACAAGGGTATGGATCCTATCAGCTTTTTGATATATGTTGCTGAATTGTTATTGCAGAATGGTTATACCAGCTAAACAGCCACGCACAATTTATTGGGTATATTTCTCCAATTACATTCTGACCATTATGTTCAAAAATATTTTGCCACTTGTATGGGGAAAAATGTATTGTTGGTTTATTTTGCATTTTTAATAAGCTCATTGCAGTTTGTATTTCGTGTTTGTTCACCTCCAGTGTCCTGCTTGTTGGCCACGGTTAGACGTTTAGCCATGCTTTCTTGTGGTGAAAATCTTTTTCATTTAATTTTTAATCCATTTGCAATGGTGTGAAACTGTGTGCTGGAGCCCATACAGGCTTTGGGCAGTACCCCAGAGACCAAACAAGGACAGGCTTGGAAATCGCAAACTGAGAGATACTGAACCTCTCAGGGCAAAGAGGTCACAAACCCGTCGGGCTCAGGTTTTGGTGACAGCCCAGGCCATTCTCTTGTGGGGTAGTTGTAACTTTAGCCCGCAGTTTCCTAAAGATTTCTGTGGACTTTGAGGGGGGCCTCAGTGTCACCTTCAAAAGGTCATGACCACAGCCAGTATGCCTTTTTCATGGTGGAGGTTGTTACCGTGTGTTCACACAGCCCATGCCAGCCACATTTGGGATGCACGGAATCAGGGCCTTTATTAGGGTTACTTGAGCAACATTATCTCTGCCGAAGGTGTTAGGAATATTTGGATTTGTTTTTGCTTTACTTATTTATTTATTTGACTTGAATTAGTAGGACACAGTGCTTGTGAGTTTTCTGAGTTGGTTAGGATTAATGTTAGAATGACTTTATTGCTTCTTAAGGTGACTACTTGGAAAGGTAATAGACATTTGGGTAGATGACTTTTGGTGTTTTTATTTTGTTCATTTTATTTATTCTTCCTCTTGACCCCGCAAAAAGTAAGGCAGATAGATGCTCCTGTGTGTATTGATAAAAGGGTCTTGTTATTCTGCATAGCATGTATATCAAACTTTTGACTTTTAGGAGGTCAATTTAGAACAGGTAGGAAGGGAGAAATAAAATATACTTTTTGCAGATAAAAAGATCTTTTATATAGAAAATCCTAAGGACTCCACTAAAATACTGTGAGAACTAATCAACAAATTCAGTGAAGTTGCAGGATAAAAAAGAAATCCTCATAGAGAAGTCAGTTGTGTTTGTAAACACTAACTACAAAATATCTGAAAAAGAAATACAGAAAACCATCCCATTCACAAGAGTATGTATCAAAAACAATAAAATAGCTAGAAATAAAATTAACCAGTGAGGTCAAAAAATCTGTGCCCTAAGACACTGCGGAAAGACATTGAGGAAGACACAAATAAATGAAAAGATATTCCATGTCCATGAATTGGAAGAACTAATATTGTTTAAATGCCCGTACTTCCCAAAGCCATCTTCAGATTCAGGGCCGTCCCTACAGGATTCCAATGGCATTTTTTCACAGAATTAAGAGAATACAATCCTAAAATCTTGGTAGAACCACAAAAGACCCATAAAGCTGGAGGCATCACACTTCCTGATTTCAAACTATACTACAAAGCGATAATCATCAAAACAGTACTGGCATTAAAATAGACAATAGATCCGTGGAACAGAATCAAGAGCCCAGAAAGAAACCCACGCCTATATGGTTCACTAACATTGGACAAGAAAACCAAGAATAATCCATGGGGAAAGGACAGTCTCTTCAATAAATGGTTTTGGGGAAACTGGATATTCACAGAGGTAGGAACAAGGTAAAATCATACCTCCTGATCATTTAGGAGTGACAGTGACGTCACAGTTTAGTGCGGCTTTTCTGAGTTGGGCAGGACATGGTAGGGTGCCCAGGTTTTCAAAGCCATGGCCATTCTTAGCTCCTGCCACCCCCGCAGGGTCCACGGCCTGGAGATCCAGGGCAGAGACGGTGGCGAGGCGGCGGCCCAGTGGCACAGGGGCTTCCTGAAGACCCAGCCCTGCCGCGTGCTGCATTTCGAGCCTCACATGCAGCCCAGGAAGCCTCACCAGATAAAGGACGTGTTCCAGCCCACGGACCAGGTCAGAGGTGCGTCCCTTGGCTTTGGCCTTTGCGGGGCAGGCTCCCGGGGAGCTGAGAGTCCTCCGTCCGTCTCCGGCCCCAGCCCATCAGACCGGGTGCGCGTCTGCCGAGCTCAGCTCTGATGTTTTGCAGCGCGTTCCTCAGGCAATAGCAACAGGCAAAATCACAGCCCACCTCTCGGCGGCAGCACCTGCATTTCCTGATTTGCGGGGAGAGTCTTGCGTCTTTGGCTGCGAGCGTCCCCCTGGCTGCTTACCTACGCCTGCTGGTCCTCTCAAAACTGTTCTGGGCAGTATCTCTTCCGCCCCATTCTGCCATTGCCCGGGGAGCCCAGCCTTTTTACAGCTGGAGGGCCCTGCGGGTCAGACCGCAGGGGGCCAAATGAGTGTGGGCGAAGCGCTGCGCAGGCCTAACGTGACCAGGCTGGGCCTTACAGGAGCAGGGCTGCATGGATTCATCGTGGCGGCTGGGCCAGTAGCCGGCGCTATGGAGTTCGGTCACTAGGGCCATTAAAAAAAGGAGGGTCAGCAGAAGTCCCTAACCCTGATTGGCAGGCTGCATGACAAATAAATACCCGTGGCCTCAGTGAATAACTTTTTATTCACGCATAATGCCACGCCACTAAAATATTTGCAAAACTAGGGGCTTGAAAAGGCGGGCCGACTCTCCCATGGGCCCTTGCCCACTGGCTGCTCTGGGATCCCAAGGCCACATCCTCTTCTCTGCGTCCTGTAATTGCTGTTCTCTGCACGGCTGGGTAAAGCTTCTGAATCACTGACTTTTCTATAAAATGGACTCGAGAAACACTTAGACTGGGGCGGGCTGCAGGGCGGGTTCCAAGGCCTAGACCTGTGTGATCTCTGAGAAATCCCCTGGGGGCCTGTGTAGCGACAGTTCCTCTGTCTCCTCTTCAGGTCGCGGACGCTGACGCCAGCCCCCTCTTGGTCCTCTCCGAGGCCTCGCTGGTGGGTCTCAGCTGCCGGCTGCAGCGCAAAGTCAGAGTGGCCAACGTCAGGCCCAACATCATAACTGCGCGGTGTGCTGTCTACGCAGAGGTAACACGCCGCCGTCCTTGCCCTTTTCCTTGATTGGTAAGACACGAGGGTCTTTGGGTTTGATTGGGTGATTTCTAAAGATGCGATCTTTGTTGGCCCTATCTGACGCAGCTCACTTTTTTGATTCACTGAGCCCCCACCAGTGTGGGGGGTACCAATGCAGATGAGGCAGAGATGTGGCCTCAGGGAGCAGCACAGGGCTGGAGCTTCTCCGGCGAATTGCCAGGCAGCAGACGAGTCTGGGAGCCTAATTTCCTCAGCACAGAGCTGTGCGTGAGGCGTGTGGCGGGGACCAGGGACGGGCGTGCTCCATCTGGCTGAAGAGAGCCTTCCTGTTTGTCAGAGCTTCTCTTGCGGGAGGTGATGTTCACACCTTGGCAGCTGGAGGTGTAGTTTTCATGTAAGAATCTGGGACACACGCACACGCACGCACACGCACGCATGCATTCGGCTTGTCACAATCCCAGTCTGTACTCAAGCTTCTGGCCTGTTCTTCAGAATGGTCTCTACCCTGAGGACCCCCTAACTACTATCCTTATTGCCTTCTCCATATTTCCATGTGGCTGCTAATCTCGACTTCAGGATGTCTCAGAGCGGGGGCTGGATCCCCCCAACCCGCCCGGCCCTGCGCCCAGTCTCGCCCATCCCAGTGTAGAGCAGCTCTGACTTCCGTAGACCGGCTCCCCTATGCTGGTTTAGGCCCCAAACTGGGAATACCTCTTTTGTTTTTCTTTCTGTCACTTCCTGCATTCAAATGACGGACAAATCTTGGTGGCTTTGTTCTCGCTCCCTTCTCTCCCTTTGGGGGCCACGTCACCGCCCTCGCTCATCGTTTATTCCCATAACTTCTCTTCGCTGGTCCCCCTGCTGCTACCCTGACCCCCGCCCCCCATCATACATCGTCCATTCCCAACACGTCGGCCAAAGTCACATCGTCATCGTTCTCCTCAAAACCCTCTCATGAGTTTCCATCTCTCTTCAAGTGAAAACTGTGACCTTAACGACGACCGTCAAGGTCCCCGTGTGGTCCCGCACCCCGGCTAGCTCCAGGGCTCCATGTCCCGTCACCGGCCCAGCCACTCTGGCCTCCTTTCCGCCCCAGGACCCTTGCACTTGCTGGCGCCTCTGCCGGGCGTACCTTCCCTCGCGTGTCTGCATGGCCCACCCCCTTACCTCTTCCGCTTCCCTGCTGGTCACCTCCAGTCCTGCCCCTTGCCCCGCTTAGAAGCCCCTGACCTTCTTAAAAATCCCCATCACCTCCTCCGAAAAGATGGCTTCTCCTCCGAAAAGATGGCTCTGCGATCGCCAGACCCCTGCAAAGCCTTTCCCACACCCAGCTTGTCCTGTTGAAACTTCCTTTTCCCTCCAGGTACTGTGTGCTGGTAGGAAGACGTGCACGGAGTCTTCGCTGGTGTTAAATACGGCTCTGGGCCCATTGAACACACGATAGTTTCTCCTTTTCTTCCCCTTTGCCAAACAGCCTTTCCTTATATGGTGGAATTTTTACCTAATTTATCTGTGAATCAATTCCTAACAGTTTTTATTTGCACATAAAAGGAGCCGTGGAAATATTTCTCAAATTAATTTCCTAACTGGAACGCTCGCTCCTTTCTGGATCTTTTATGTTTTTATGACGGCAGTGCCCCCTGGTGGGACCATGTACACATTACAGGCTGGGGCTGTTAACTGAGGTGACCAGCTTTCTGGACTGTTGAGAAATAGGCAGTTAAGAGGCCCATTTCACGACTTTCGAGAAAACTCTGCGATACGTGTATTAAAGATAATGCACAGTATTCGAATTAAAATGCTGCGTCTGGAACTTTGCCCCTCGGCTGTGATCAATAAAGCACCAGGCAGGTCCGTTTTAACTTTCGGGTTTTTATCTTGAAGCCCCAGGTGAGGAGCGCAATTAATTGGATGTTCTCATGTCGCAGTACCCTCCCTTCCAGTGATTGCCTGGAGTCCCCTCACGCTTCCTTTGTGCCTCTCAAAATCTCTGCCCTGGGAGATAGTTCAGATCCTTCTTCCGCCGCAAAACCTGCAGATTTGTCCTCTAAACCCCCAGAACAAATCTCGCCTGCGGACTTCAACCAGCACGCGCAGTGATACCTCCTCAGGCCTTTTCTCAGCTTGTCTGGAATGTTTAAAAAGAACATGTATCATGCACTTTTCACATATGTATGCAGTGTTTTCCCTGCTTGGTTTCAGGGGGTGCAGCCCGTTGCTTTGATTTGTCCTGAAGAGCAGGCAACCAGGGAGCCCGGGCAGCCGCAGGCAGCTGCTGCAGAGCTTCCTGGGCTGGCGTACCTGGGGGCTGCAGGTGGAGCTGCAGAGAGAACAAGGCCATGATTTGAACCCTTCTGGCCAGGGGAGGTACAAGACCCACATACGCAACAGCTTCAGGGTGTTAATCCACCTTAATCATGCACCAGGCAATCTGCCACAACCGCTCCACGGCCCCTCCTCTCTCTCACCCACTCCTCTGCCCCGTCCTTCCCCGCCCCCTTCAGGTCTAGCAGGGGCAACCAGGGAGGCTTCCTGAAGGAGGCAGCCTTCACCCACAGCTTGACGAGTCAGAGGAGGGGGAGCATTTCACTTCAAGTGAATAAATCGACACATCCAAGGCACAGAGAGTGTGCAGGAAGGTGTGTGGCTTCTCAGGTCTGCTGTCTTTGATGTGAGTCACCAGGCAGGACGAGGACTCTGGAGAGCGTGCGTGGACGTTGTGTTCTGTCCCCTAGGATTCGTGGAGCAAGCTTCTTATTGCGGATGTGGAACTGAAGAGGGTGAGGGCTTGTTCCAGGGAGGGGGCTTCCGCCACTGCCTGGGGGAAGGAGGGGAGGGACAAGGCCGCTCTGTCCCTTGGATCATGCTCCATGGTCTATGTGTGCAGGGGGACCTTAACCGCAGCGGACGCAGACACCGGTGTCATGAGCAGGAAGGAGCCGCTGGAGACCCTGAAGAGGTAGGAATGGGCAATTTAATGTCTAAGAAGAGGCAGAGAACCCCGCCACCCACAGGGTCTTGGAGCTGGCGGGGACCTAGTGACTGACAATCTGGAAACATCCCTGTGGGTTTTGGTCCCGAGAATGCTTGATTCCATGTATGATTTTAATTTTCACTGAGAATTCATGATTCGAACAAACCAGTTTCAAAAAGAAAACATTGTTTAGACATTTTGGCAAATTATAAGACTGATTGGTATCAGATGATACCGAAAATGTATTAGGTACGATAATGACATTGAGATGGTATCAGAAACGTCCCTATGTTGTGGAGAAGGGTGTTAAAATACGTAGGGAGGTGGCATGATGTCTGGGATGCGCTGTAGATAATTTTATCAAAAAAAAAAAGGACGCAGGAAAAAAAAGCATCGAAATTTTGAGAAATAGAATGTGGGTGATATTCTTGCTCTGCTTATGTTTCCTTTAAAATTTCCATTAAAAAAAAACTTAAAGTGAAAGACACAATTATAGAAGTTTAATGCATAGAAAGTTAGGATAACATCAATTTTTAAAAGCGACTACAAAATAGCACCTACGGTACTTACTTTTGTGTGTATTTGATTTTACTTTTTAAACGACATAAATGCACCTGAGTAGATACAAGGCTAGAAAGCTGTAAACCAAAATGTTAACGGAGGTAGTCTTTGGGTAACAGAATTTTGAGAAAAAGATATATACAAGGGCGGGGAAAAGTAGGTTTACAGTTGTAATGCAAATAAATAATACAATCGCTAATCAATCATAATACAAGAATAAACTCTGTTTCGTATACTCACAGCTGTGAACCTCCTTTTGCCATCCCTGTATGTTTGCGTGTGTCCTCTCTAAATTTTCTACCGCCCACCTGCACTGCTTAGGCTAGAACAAGTCCAAATCCACGCACTTCGGCGCCATCATCTGCCACATCTGGGACGAGATATTGGTGACGCTCTGAATGGGAACTAACCACGTTCACCTGCATTGGCTCCTTCCGGGGGGAACGTAGGGTCACAGGTGGGGTGTTGGGTCTCATTGCGGCTCCCTGAGACTCTTGGCCTTGACCCTGACTTGCGCCCCCAGGTGTCACTCATAGAGCGTGAGGGCGAAGGCGCGGAGGGGGCCAGAGTTGTCCCCGGAGTGTGAGTCCTGTGGCCTCCCTTCCTTCCAACCTCTCGCCGAGCTCGTAGCCTTTTCGGGGCCAACCATTTAGTTTCCTTTGGTCGGCGCCCACGCTCTCTGCCAATGACCCTGTTACCCCAGAAGCAACGGTAGCCCCTCCCTGTCGAGGACACCAGCTCTGCTACACGTGACTGACATGATGATCACTAGCGGGTCCCCCTCTCGCTCAGACGCTGGGTGTCCTTCTGCAGGAAATGAGCAGGACAGGGCAGAACCGGACGATTCTGGGTCCAACCAGCCGAGCAACTGGGGGAACTGGCCGGCGACCTCTTTATATGTCTGGTTCTCTCTGCCCCCCCACACGTGGCTTGGCGTCCGGTCGTTCTCCCTCTGGGTGTAGACCCGGTTGGCCCTGGCAGACGCAGCCACCAGAGAGCACGCCATGTGTTTGGGCTGCTCCTCTGCATCTTCAGCCCCAACCCCCCGCCCCACACCCTGCCCCGCATTGGGAGCCTGTGTTTATAGAGGGTAATTGATCCCAAACACAGGCCGGCTGGCTGTCACAGGGACCAGCCAGCTCTCCTGATCTTCTACAGACTCTGCAGCCCCCCAATCCCCCCTAATTGCCCCTAAGTCCCCAGGAGACAGAGCAGCCAGACTAGGTGTCTTTTCCTACCTCTCACTGAGATTTAAATTGCCACCGAGGTAGTAATTGATGTTCTCCCCCAGGACAGGTAGCCATAAATCTTACAGAGAAAGGCCCAGCCTCACGACATAAATCAAGGGAAGCAAAGCAAACGTGGTGTCCAGAACGCCCTCCTGGTGCAGGGCAGGGTGCTCCGAGCCACCCTGCCCTCCCTCGTCTGTGTCCTCGTGGCGCCCAAGGTCTGTGCTGCTTCCAAATGCAAGTTCTCAGCAGGGAGGCCTCCCTGCTGGCCCTTCACCCCCAGGCCAGGGCATAGGGGGCCTTTGTCTGTAAACAGCCAGGAAATTAGTCTTTTCTTCCTTAAGGGACGGTGGCTTCCACGCTTACAGAGTGGTGGGAGGTTATCATTCTTGCTTCCAAAATATCTTACTCCTAATAGAAAAGAGAAAGCCCGTTTGCTTCGTGGATGCATCAGCTTTGTTGGATAAACGAATACTGTGACAATAAGGACACTGGCACTGGCCCTGTCTGTCAGGTTGTGCTGTGCTGAGCTACAGGGGGGAAGATACAGTGACGGTGACACACCCCACCCCGATCTGGCGCATCACCTGCTCACTGTGTGACATTAAGTTCCTTGGCTTCTCCAAGTCTTTTTATTTGCAAACAGCTTCGCGTGCACAGGAATGCATCACCGCTTGCAACACACCCCATGACCACAAGAGGGCGCTGCTGCCCGCATTTATGGAGTCCCTGCACCAGGGGCCGCCTTCGCAGGAGCTGGAGGTGGGGCAAGAAGTGGATTGGGCAGAGCCAGATGGCCCCGAGGGAAGCTGGGGCAGGCTGGGCCACCGAGGGCCACATTCCACCCCCACAGTGCTTCCATTTCTATTCCATAGCCAGTGCAGGGGGCCCTCACCTGCGAACCAGGTAACCAGGGCTGTGCTTGTATAAACCAACCCCCTCGCCCCACCCACTGCCGTTAAAGGGCTCATTGGCTCCCCTACTCCAAAGTGACCTGGGGATGGGGAGTGAGTGTGATGGGAGTGGCTGACGAGCAGGGTGAGGCGAACCCCCTGAGTAGCAGCGACGCCTTTGTGTAGACGAGCAAATATTACCCACCTCCATCCTCCGCAGGCCCCCCGTGTGTACACAGGAGGCCTATCAATGGCCAGGCTCACATGGCTGACGGAAAGAGTCCTAGCTATGGAGTCAGCCAGCCCTGGGTTCTGGCCCCAGCCGGGCCCCTAGGCCCGGGGTCCAAAGCCAGGGCAGAACCTGCGGAGACCGGACCCCCACTGTTTTCTCATTAGCTGTTTCTGCTTTGGAGAAAGAAACTAGGACCAAGTTGTTGCAATAGTTTTGTTTTGTTTTGTTTTTAAGCGTGATAAAATGCAATGAATGCTTTTCGGAAAAAGTGTTGTAAATATCAAAGTGATGGGAAGTTGGAGTTAGTTTAAGTGAGACACTGAAAGAAAGCTTTCTCCCGGGGCAGGGGGGATCCTTCCGGGGTCATTCCCAGACGTCTGCTCACCCGCCCCGGGGCCTCTTGCGTTGTCTACCTGACAAAGAGGTCCATACCCCCGCGAATAGAGGATTTTATTCCCCGACACCTTCCTCTGCTCTGCAAACTGTTAATGGGTCCATGGCGACATTGGGCCCACACTGGGTGGGAGCAGCACAAGGGAGTGGACACAGTCTCTACTCTCCAGGGGCTCCCTGTCTTGTAGAGCCATGAGCCCTGACACCCCCTGACCAGTCATGTGTGTTCGGGGAGCAGGCGGAGAAAGCGGAGGGGGGTACTTACTCCTGGCTGGGGTATCCTGGGCTTCCTCCCACCCGGGGATGTGCTGTTTGATCTCGGCCTTGAGGAGAGGGTAGAATTAGAGTGCATGGGAGCTGGGCAGGGGCGTCCCTCCGAGCCTGTGAAATGCAAGGGGAGCAGGGCCCGGAGGAGTCCCGGGCAGTGCTGCCCAGGTGCACGTAAGGGGCAGGGGTGATAGGTGTGGAAAGGCTGTCTAGGGCCTGGTACAGGCCCTCGCACGCTAGGCTGCAGGCTTGGAGTGTATTCTCTAGGCACTGGGGAGCCACTGAAAGTTTCCGAGCCTAGGAGTGATCAGACCCGGGCAAGGGTTAGAAAGCAATAGTGTCGACAATGAATTGGAAGGGAGGGGGAGGGAGAAGGAGGCAGAGAGGCTGGGTAAGAAGCTAATACCACAGTCTGAGCATGCTCGAAGCAAGCTTGTGATTGTGGGAGGAAGGGGAGCAAGTCCGAAGCGTGGGGCGCCGGAAGAATCTCAGGCCTTGGCCACCGTGGCCCAGCTGTGGAAAGCCAGGGCACAGGTGTTCAGGGATGGGCTTGAAGTGACTAGTGGGATGGTGGTCCCGGCGACAGACACGAGGAGTCAGGAGAGGTGTCTGGGAAAAGGAAGGTGGTAACATGCGTGTAAACATAAACATTGCATGAAGAAAGAGGGTGGAGATAGGGTCGTTGGTTGCACTTCTGCAGTGTGGGCACACAGTGGCGCTGTTCTGTTAGACTTTGATGGGCATGGTGCCCTGTGGATCTGGGCAACACTGGCTGCGGGGTGGGTTCTCAGCTCAACCGGCAGGAGACGACGTGCAGGTTGAGTTCTTGCTCGTGTGTGGCTGTGACTCATCCTCCTCTCTCTCCTACTGTAGTTATCGCCTGTGTGACCGTTCTGAACAGAACTATATGGAAAGTCACCCCTCTTTGGACAATATTTTGTTCCAGAAAACCCAGGGACCATCAAAGTGGGAGACCCCGTGTACCCGCTGGGCCAGTCATAGGAATCACACAGAGGCCCTGGAATATCAGATGTTCTTAAAAGATGTCCTCAGAGATGCCAACGTTTGAAGGACAGCGTTTGGGAGCAGACACTTCTGTGTTCTCTTTAGATCTGTGATTTCCCAGACTTTCCTCTTGGACTTCCTTGTGTCCCTGAGTTTCCAGGGTCCTGGTGCTCCGAGCAAAGAAATACACTCTCAATAACGAAGCAGGACTTCAGGAAGTCACTTAAATGACACGACTCTGAAAACCCACGTTTGACTGCAAGTGTGGAATAACTTTTTCCCCTCCTTCTTCATTCGTCTACCCAAAACTCTAATCTCCATCACCTCCATTACCACTCCCTCGGGAAAGAGAAAAGAAGAGAAAGAGGAAGAGTGGGCGAGTGAGAGGAATGTTCTGGAATGTTCTGGAAGGTTTTATTGCTGCCTGTGTGGGGCATGCAATGGAAATTAAATGCCTCCCCAAATAAGGCTGGAATATCACTTTGCTCTTCCCCTCAAGCCCCGGGCTAGCTTTTGAAAGGGCATAAAAAACATGACCTTCAAGGGAACTCTTAAACACAGAGCTTCTTGGATCTGGCCTGGTGGTGCCTCAGACAGTACCCGGGACGAGCCGACGGACCCTTCCTAGCGCGCAGCCTCTGGGCGGGGGGACAGCGGAAATGTCAGGCTGGAAAACCCTCCCAGGAGAGCAAGGCAGCTGTCACACCCTGGTGGGAAGCCTGCGAGAAGCAAGAGCAACCAAAACATCCTTACGGTGACACAACAGTGTCAAACGTGTTCCACTCACGGTCCAGAACGTCCCCTGACATGTGAGAGTGAACAGCAGCACTACAGAGCGGGAGACCCCTGGTTGCACGTTGTCTACGAGGCTGTTTGGTGTTGCCCAGGAAAGAGATGGCGGTGCCCCTCTTCAGGTGAGCACAAGGGAACCTTCTTGAAAGGAGATGGTGCCCTCTAGTGGCGCTGAAGGGCAGTACAGCTCATGCTGTTGAATGAAAAAAATCCCTGTGGGTGGGTTTTAGTTCTCTATTCTAGAATTTTTTTTTTTTTTAAAGGAAGTCGGGTACTCGCCCCCGGGTGTTTTCTGCTTCTCTGCAGCATCAGAGGCGTCCCTGAAAGGGTGGCTGTGTTGTCATGGAGCTCTCCTGGACCCTTGCAGCCCACCCGTGCATGGCTGGGTGCTCGTCTTCAAGTTCAGCGTGAGAAACGCCCGAAGTCCACAGGTGTGAGGAAACGTAATTGTGGGATTCGAAATAAACCAGCAAAGGCCTTTCACAGGAGAAAAGGAAAACATAGGGCCGTTCATTTAAAAACCAATATCTAATTTTTCTGTTGATGGATTTAGGTAACTATATTCTGCCAAAGTATTTCCTTGCCATTTTGTCCTTTGATTGTATTACTTAGCTGACAAAATCATGAAAAAACATTTCAGAAATGTAAATAAAAGGAAGCTACTTTGACCAGTTTCAGGTCTCTGCTGGGCACTTTATGTTGAAACTGCAGATAGATTGAGGCACAAATAAGGGTTCGGCAGGATAGCATTACTCATGGGACCTTGGGAACGCATGGGAGAAAGCCCACAGGATTTAAGAAACTGTGAATATTGGCTTTCTGAGAGTCGCCAATAGTTAGAAACCCATGAGAAACTCAAGGTTGGAGGGGTGGCTGTTGGTAGATATTTGTAATCAGGCAAGTGGAATGCCTTAGACATGAATTTCTGACCCTTGTAAGCAGAAATGCACTTCCCCAGAGTGAGCCCCATATGCACAAGTGCCACAGTGCATGCAGACCTGTCGTCTTCCTCCGCTTTGCAGGGTAAACCTCAAACGGAGGGGGTACCTGGACACCCTTTTTGGGGGGAAAAGGAGAACTCCTATTCGAAGAGAGAGGTTCCAGTGGCCTCAGAACCTCCCAGTAGTTGCCAAGCTTCCTGTCAGTGAGATTTAACAGCCATTTACTCGTGTTTATTTTATATTTATGAGTCAGTTAATGCTAAAAGCAGGGCCGATGGCTCGTAGTTTGGGATACTGAACATGTGTACACCATTCCGCTTGAACTGTAGGATCAGGCATGTAAAGCACCCCTGGCTCCCAGAGAGGTCCTGCAGCTGCAGGTGGTGGACAGTCAAGGTCAAAGCCTCCAGCCTGGATGGGTGCTTCATTCCGGTGGCGACGTTAGGCCGCAGTCACAGCGGGCTTGCCAAGCCAGAGCTGGACATCATGCCCTGGGCCCGTGGCAGGGCTGTGGCGGGCCGTGGAGAGGCTCCCTGGAAAAAGACATTCGCAACCAGGAGATAAAAGCAGCATCTTCTACATGCAAAGGCAGAAAGAATCAGTGGGATGCAGGAAGCCAGGCAGTGGTCTGGCAATGAGAAATACCCCTCGTCCCCTAGCACCCCTAGGGATTTGGGGGGCAGGGTGAGGAGTTTTTGGTAAAAGCATGGGTGGAGGCCGGGTGAGCTTGGCTGGCCAAGGGTGACTTTGGGAAACCGTCTGTGTGGCGGCCACTGTCAGCGCCGGCATGCTAGAGTGCCAGGCGGGTCCCCCCGCCCCACCCGAGAGAGTTTGACAAGTGAGGACAATCCATGACGGCAAAGAGAACAGCTCCCAGGGCTGCCGTCTCCGAATACTGCACTTCCCTGTGGTCAACTGGTCCATGCAGTTGGGAAAGTTTGGCTGGAGGGTCCCTCTGCGAATTCTGTGCACCAGTCGCTTCAGAAAGTCCTGTGGTGGCCTCGCTCCTCTTCAAAGGCCAGCAAGCCCGCTGAAGGCTGTGGAGGCCTGTGGGGAAGAAGTCTGTTGATGGTCCACACCGCCCTCCCAGGGGGTTCTGTCTCCGACCCCTTTTGAGAAACACTGCTCTGGTCTCCAGGGAGCGCCAATCAGGGCAAGGAATCGTGGGTAGCAGAAGAGGTGCGTGCCGGGAAGAATGAGGAAGTTCAAAGGATCCCTGGCCACGTGGAGGAGGCCTCCCTTGGGCTGCTTCTTCCTGTCTTCTCCCCAGTGGGCAGATGGGACTGGGGCTTACCCGTTAAAGATGTGGAGAGGGTGTCTTAGACCCACTCTCCTACTATGGGTCTTAGGGAGAAGCGTTCTCTTTCTTTGGACTTGTTTTCCAAACCTGCATCCATAGGTGGATTAGGGCGAGAAGGGGCGCAGACTCTCTGTCCTGGCCTTACCACGTAACACACATGCTCCAGGATGTTCCGTGCGCCAGCAGGGGCACCATCGCTCTCTCTGCTCCCTGACCTTCTGTGGCAGCTCCTCCCAAGTAGAGTTGCCCCCCAACACATGAAGCAGAATTACCCCGGGGCCCCTGCTGCCCCCAACCATATGTACGCATGTACTTTATCCTCTGATCTCCTGTCAGGAAGAAGAGACTTTGTCTGCTTCTACCATGGCCTTAGAAATGGACAAGTGAGGATGGTATCATCTTAAGTTACCCCCTTTCAAGCAAGCGGAAGACTCTGGCTCTGCACCACAAGTGGTTTTGGAATGGGGATTGTAAAAGTGTATTTTTTTTTTAATCTGAGAGATCTCAGTGTCAGCTCTGACTGTCTTCAGAGGAGGAGGCCCAGGCCACGACGTTGACTGGGATTCTGCTGTCCCTCAAACGCAGCTGGTGGGGGCCTGGTGGGGTCACCTGGTCCCATGCTCCTCTCCCAGCTCAGAAGGAGGAGCTGCCTTACTCATATTTTTGTCTTCGTGGACAGGCTGTAGGTGGTATTAAGTAACAAAAGGAGCTGAGAAATGGCTTCCGATCCAGCTTCTCCCAACGCCAATGGGTAGGTCAAGTTCACTCATGTTTGGCTCTTGACCAACCTAATCCAATCCCCGTTGGTGGTTCTCAGTCATGCTCCCTTCCCTTCACAGAACATTCTGGACTGCTCTTTCTCCTACCTCCCTCATTAGCCCATAGCCCATGATCTTTTCCCCCCCTTAATTCCCTTTCTACCCTCCACCAATCCCTGACCTGTATGTTCAAGTCCAGACTCCCCTCCTGGTGGATCCCTGTGGGCTCTAAGTTAAGCCTCTCTCTCTCTCTCTCTCTCTCTCTCTCTCTCTCTCTCTTTCTCCCTCTCTCCCTCTCAGATTTGCTGGGAGTACTGTCAATAGAACATTGTTGTCATCGTTATTTCTGACAAATATTTTTACACCTAATAAAGTCGCAGAGAGATTATATTTGCTTGGTTTTGGGGAGGGCCACCTTCCAGGCGACTTGCTTAAGCAATTAAAGCAGCTTGTTAGTCAGGGGCCCAGGATGGCCGAGGACAGCTGGAGAGCTCTTCTTTGCAAGCAGCTCTGGTTAACATCAACCGAGAAAGCTCTTTGTAAACACATGAATAATTGATCGTCCAGCGCTCACATAGCTACCGAGGATCTGAGCCTGTGTGACTCATTTGCGAGCCATTCCTGTCGTCTGGATGCCATAACATTGGAGGAATGATGATCGTTTCTTGGAGATTCTTCTGTGGCTAGCGTTGCCAAGACCAAGGCTGTAATGGTTTGTTATGATGACCTTTGTTATTCCATTAGGCTCAATTGCTTTAAAAAATGATGTGCGCATACTTTCGGAACGTTTTTACCCTTTACGTTGACCTGACATCATAGTTTATATTACAAAATGTATTAATGACAGAGGAGTGTTTTCATGTCCCAGGGACAAATTTTAACAACCATAATCTGCCCTTAGTCATCATAAATATAAATGTATTGGTCAAACAGATCTCGTTAATGTGACCAAGATAAATACAAGTCTATATTTTAAGGCAGTTGAAGTCCTAGAGAATATATTTGGAGCTTTTTGTGGGGCTAAGCGGTCTTGTCTACCTGCTATGAGAAAACTGAGAAAATTAACGATTCCCCCTCTGGTTTTATGTTGGACAGATTTAAACGTCTTGGGGATGTCGAGTAAGATTGTTCACATAGTGTCTGGACGCCATTAATGCCTGGTGGGGTGAATCCTAGTTCTTAAAGCTGTATTCTTCTCATTATGCTGGCAAAATAAAGGTTTTTGAAAAGAGACAAAATAAAGATTTCAAGTCTTCACCGTGTGTTGCTCAACCGTGGTTTCTTGAGTTCTACCACCTCTCAGAGTTTTAATTCTATAAAGTCCCCTGCCCCCCTCTGGTCCCCACTTTGTGCTTCCTGTGGGAGGCGTCCCTTTCCCTCAGCTGTTTCTGACATTTTGCATCGTCCCAGTTGGCAACCCATTTGTTGGCAGACGACGTTCTGGGCATGAGCTGCAGGACGGATCAAACACTCAGTCTTCCTCCTCTTTACATCACACTCAGAAGGGTTGGCCTTTCTTCATGGTGGCCACATTTGAAGCTTCTCGGGCAGGCTATAAATCCTTGTTTCAGAAACCCTTGTTCATTGTGTTTTCATTCTCAATCATGAAAACGCGTTGAAGGCAGCAATGCCTCAAAGGCTGGTCTCTGAGAAAGCAGACCACTTTCAGGGATGAGTTCATTCCCCGAGATACGGTAAACTCGGGGCCATGGTTGACCTCCACGTGCATCACGGTCGCCGGGCAGTGACTGATGAGCGCTTCATATGCAACCATGGACCTTCTCTCCTTAGAAGAACCTTCCCTTCCCAATCTGCTGGGGCCTCTGCCAGCATCACATGGTGGGCTTTAGAAATGCGATTTTGCCTGGAACATCTCTGGGACTAGGCATTGGATTATTTTTGAAATTTTATTGGCATGAGGACCGTGTTGTGATATTCTGGGTGGCTGAGACTTTTTGATCTCTTTCAAAAGCGAGGCACATACAACTATGTTCACAGCAGCACTATTCACCATTGCCAAGGGTGGAAGCCACCCAAGTGTCCATCGACAGAAGAATGAACAGACAAATTGCGGTGGATGCACACGATGGAATATTATTCAGCCTTAAAAAGGAAGGAAATTGGGATGCGTGTTACAACCTGGATGCACTTTGAAGACATTGTGCTAAGTGCAATAAGCCAGTCAGAAAAAGACAAATACTGTAGATACCACATATATGAGGTACCTAGAGCCATCAAATTCATGGAGACAGAAAGTGGCATGGTGGCCGCCAGAGACTGGGAGTTATTGTTTAATGGGGACAGCGTTTGAGTTTTACAAGAAATTAAAGAGTCTTGGTGATGGATGGTGAGGATGATTGCACAACAATGTGAATGTTCTTAATACTCTGGACATGCACTTAAAAATGGCTACAAGGGTAAATTTTAAGTGCATTTTTTTTTTACCACAATTAAAAAATAATAATAGAAAAGGAAATAAAGTGAGGCATATCAGAGACTTGGAGGTGAATTCGCTCTTCCTGGAACAGCAGCCCGGGCGAAAGTCAGGGGAAAAACCCCCAACCTTACCCAGAACATCAAGCACTCTTTTTGCTGAGACTAACAAGGATAAGAAATTGAAATGTAATGTCTTCGAACTTTATGTTGATTGAGGGTGAGATTTTAACTTCAGACTTTAATTTCTTGTTTTAACTCCTTTGGACCCTAACTTATAAGGGGATTTACTTTCAGACTTGGGGCTCCCTGGTAATTTGATATGCTGGCGGAGGTTAAGTTCAAATGCAGGACATCTTCTTGTCGGGCTGCCTGACAAGACTCACCGTGTTTCACTGCATAACCTCTGATAGGTTTTGTCGGTCAATGGGGCTGGAAATAATTTGATTTAGAAATATAAAGGAGATCTTCATTTTTCTTCTGGACTACTGAAAGGCCTTGAAGAACATAGTGTACTGTACGGACCCATCTTAGAAATTCCACTGCTTCTATATTCGTAAACCACATCCTCCTATCAGTAAAACAGATATTTTGAGTTCAAAAAAAAATAAATAGGGCTTTTAAAAAATATAAAACCATGTCCACATTTGAATTGTGCCTTGCGTGCATACGGAGACTCTCCCATGAAGTCTGTAGAGGCCTTCGTCTGCTACATGCTGTTTGAGCTCCTTGACAATCCAGGGGGGTCAGATGGATATAAACGCCTTGTGTAGGCTGCTCCAGAATGATAATCACACTTTTCCCTAATTGCATAACTCCTGTCAGTGAGGTTTAATTAAGCTAAGTAACT